CTGCTCTGAGGTACTGTGACTAATGGCAATGGGGACAAAGTGATTAAAAAACACAGCAGGCGGATAACAAAAAGACAGTGAAAATTGACCCAAATACCACAAACTGAATAGATGGATGGTTACCATTTTGGGTCTCTTCTTCCAAACTTTTATATTCATTCAGCTAGACATAGGTATGCATTTTATACCCCAAAGGGGTCACTTCGACCCCACTGTCATTAGTCACAGTACCCCAGAGCAGGAATTCCTCAGCAGAGGGGCTGGTGGTACTCAAATCCTGCTCTCTCCAGCAGTGTGCTGTGTGTTTTTAGATAGAACCAGTAGGTTCTATCTTTTCACTATATATTTTTATAACATGGGTATTTTCCCAACTCACTAAATATTTTTCAAACAATATCACTACATAATATTTCATTATCTTGCTAGACTAAAATGTATTTTCCCCTAACTTCCTTTTCAGATTCTACATAAAGTGTTTCTTCTTGCCTGGATGGTGTTGCTCAGTTGAGCTTCTGGCCAGAGTGAAGGCTGAAAAGCAGCTCTGGTAGGAGCGAAGTTGGTGCCAGCAGCCAGGAGAAGGAAGGCCCATTCTTGCACGAATCTTCATGCATCAGGCTCTAGTCTATACATATAAAACCCTAATATGCAAGTAGACCAAACAGTGGAACAACCAACATTACAACCAGTTGCTATGATGAGCAATGACCATCACCGGGCATGCGCAGAACATGGTGGGCATGTGGAGCAGGTGAGTGGGGGCACCAGACCACTACAGGGCTCCAGTCACTGTCATCAGGGTGAGCCTCTGGTGGTTACTGAAAATTCTTTGTTCCCATGTGCCGTGGTCTCACCAGATGCTCGCACTGCTGCCTGCAACGGCCCTCTTTGCACCTGCTGCTGGCTCCTGAGTCGCCACTCACACCCACTGCCGGTGCCTGGCCCCGATCACTTGGTACCATCAGCGGGTTTGAGTGGCAGCTGACAGCCCCGATCACCCTTCAGGGCTTCTTCACCTCCCCCTGCTTCTGAGGGGCGATCAGGGCTGGCAGCTGCCTATCGCACCTGCTGCTGGAAACAGCCCCGCTCGCACCCACAGGTGTGAGCTGGGCTGGCACCATCAGCACCTTGGAACAGTGGGAGTAGGGCTGTTGGCAGACAGGGGACCAGGGAGGAACTGGGTGGGGGCGCAGAGGATGGGCCAAGACCCGCCTCTATGCTCACCGCAGCTTCGCAGCCCACAGTTCCTTTCAAGGTGTATGAATTCATGTACTGGGCCTTTCAATATATAATTTGAAGGTAGGGCTAACAGGATTTCCTTGTAGATTGGATGTTGGTATAAAGAGATTAATTTACTATGACTCTAAGTTCTTTGGCTATAGCAACTGTAAGATGAAGGTGCCATATTGTAGGGTGTAAAAGACTGTGTTTGGGATGAAGTTGAGGCACAATTCAACAAATGGGTAGAACATCTGGTTTCATCTAAACTGGAGAGGTTAAACAGGTGGCGATATTCAAGTCTGCAATTTGGGGAGAAGTCTGGGCTAGAGATGTATTCTTGTTATAATTTTTTTTCTTTCTTATTTCCTCTTAGAATATCTTCACACACACATTATAAAGAAAAACATTGTCTAATAACTTCTACCATTAAATAACATACCTTTCAAAGTAAAGAAAAATATAATTGTTAAAGTTTGGGGCTATTTGGAAACTTCCAAACAGTTGCTATAATTAACATCACCTGAAAATTCATGAAATGAGGACAGCCAGGTTTTATTCTCAGACCTGTGGAGAATAATGGCTTAAGAAAATTAGCATGCCAGAAGTGAAGAAAATATTCAACAAAGAAATGGTGTTGAGCTAAAATAGCGATAAGGTTCCTTTATGTTTCCACAGTATATAAACACCAGTTATTTGTCCTGAACCAAAAACTTGAACACTTTCCTCATTCAGAATACACGCTGCAATCACAAGACAGCAAATTATGTGTGCAAAATACCCTCATTCACACTGACATTCACCAGCAGCTCTAGTCGGAGATGGAACGAGAGGGAATTGTCATTTTTGGCGGAGTGTCCACTGCTCTCTGTGGCATGCAGCAGCCTTGGCCCGGGACCAAGTCCATTCTCTCCCAGGGCCTATCTCTAAGATCACCCTCTCTAGAATGAGTACTTTCAAACATCACCAGAACTCCATGCTCCCCAGTTTTTATCCTGCTAATTTCTACTGGCGACCTTCAATGTCATTTTAATTCCTATGTGTGTCAGTATAGAGAAGAAAAATGGGAAGAAAAAGAGAACTTTAAAAAACAGAAAGCATTGGGAGACTCAGAAAAATGTTGATATCCATGTTAGAGTATCTTTTTATATGAAGTAGCCAAGATCTTACAACTCTTACCTTAAGCAGTAGATTAATATAAATACTACAGTTACTTAAGCATCCATGAATAAACATTTCATTGTATGATTACGAAGAGATAAAGAAAAAAACAGAATCAGAAAAAAAGAGACATGAGAGGGAGAAGGAGGGGGGGGAGGAGAGAGAGGAGAAGAGGAAGGAGAAGAAAAGCAAAAAAGGGGAGAGAGAAAGAAAGAGAAGGTGGGAGGATAAAAATGGTCAGAAAATGTGCTTTCCAAAAAATAAAATACGTTACTAGATCTACCATCTAATCCCTCTAAAAGTCATATTTATTGTTCAAAGTGTACACAATTTAACAAGTATATCAGAATTAGAGAATCTCAATTTCATTTTAAAAGGACAGTGACCTAGAAGAAAACATTTTATTGATAGTCACATAAAAGTAAAAAAAAAAAAAAAAAAGCTTTTCTCTTAAAAAAAGTTATAAATGTCAGTATTCTTTTCACCTGGTTAAAAACAAAAAACAAAAAACTGCAAACACGTACAATCTGAAAGGAGCAAAGCTGAGTTCCAAAGGGAGTGGAAAGAGAAGAAATTAATAATGTCAAAAGGAAAAGAGGAGAGAGGAGTGAATGCAAAGGTAGCTGAGAGTAAACAAAGAGAAGCGTGACAGGAAAATACAGGGAACAAAGTTGTAAGTTGCAAATTTTGGCTTTATTACCAATAGCCTTTATCTCCATGGTTGGCACCACCCTTACCCAGCCACCCATTAAAAATCTGGAAGTCTTTAATCTAGCCGGGTCCAGATCTAGTCACCAGCTTACAGCAAATACAAGGGATAGCTGTGCAGTTTTTCTCATCAGTCCCTGGCTTAACCCTCCAGTTTACTGGCAGTTTACTGCAAACAATATGCTGCTTCCTACCTTTGTGCTTGGCTGTACTGACCCTGCTAACTATAATGCCTCCAATGATTTTTTGGAGATGACAACTAAAACACAAGCAACAAAATAAGAAATAAACGAGTGGACTACAACAAACTAAAAAGCTTCTGCACTACAAAAACAACAACAACAAACAATCAATAAAAAGACAACTATGAAATGAGAAAAAAATGTTCAAACTATCCTATCTAATAATAGAGTGGTATGCAAATTAACCATCACTCCATGACAAAATGGCAGCCCCCATAGCCAGAAAATGGCAGTGCCCAGTCCCCTCAGCTCTGCTGCTGGAGTGTCCAGTCTGTCCACAGAAGCAGCAAGGCTGGATCTGTCTCCAGAGGGGTTTTTGATCTGCCCCAGACATAGCAGTCATAGCCTGGACAGCAGTTAGCCCTGTGGCAGCAGGGAAGCCCCAGGCCCGGCAAACAGAGTGGACAACAGGGCCTGAGGACTTCTGTGGCAGCGGGGAAGCCCCCAGGCCCAGCAGTCAGAGCCCAGACAGCAGGGTTTGGAGACTTCCTTAGCACAGAGGTGGCAGGACCACCCCCAGGCCCGGTAGACAGAGTCCAGACAGCAGGGCTTGAGGGCTCCCTTAGTGTGTCAGTGTCTGCGAAGCCCCCAGGCCTGGCAGACAGAGCACACTGCAGGGCACTGGGGCTTCCTTTGCATGGCGCATGGCGAGGCAAGCAGAGAGCGGAGAGCAGGGCATGGGGGCTTCATCTCCATGGCTGCAGCAAAACCTCCAGGCCCCACAGAGAGCAGAGAACCACGGGGAGTGGGCCTAAGCCATCAGTAGGACATCCCCTGAGAGCTCCTAGATTGTAGAGGGTACAGGTTGGGCTGAGGGACCTCTGGGCACAAATTTCATGCACCAGGCCTATAGTATATCTAATAAGGGGTTAATATCCAAACTATACAGGGAACTCATACAACAACTCACTAGCAAAACAAACAAGCAAGCAAACAAACAAAAAAACACCCCAAATAATCCAATTAAAAAATGGACAAAGGACCTGAATAGACATTTGTCCAAAGAAGATATATAAATGGTGAATAGGTACATGAAAAGATGTTTGACATCACTATTTATTAGGGAAATGCAAACCAAAACCACAAGGAGATATCATCTCACACCTAGCATTGGAAAGACAAGAGATAATAGATGTGGGGGGAAAAAGGAACCCTCATGCACTATTGGTAAGATCATAAATTGTTATAGCCGCTATAAAAAACAGTACGGAGTTTCCTCAAAAAATTTACAATAGAAACTACCATATGATCCAAGAATCCTATTTCTGGAAATATATCCAAAGGAAATGAAAACATTCCGTTGTAGGATATTATTTGCACCCCATGTTCATAGCAGCACTATTTACAATATCCAAGACATGGATATAAATGTCCACAGATGAATGAATGAATAAAAAAATGTGATACACACAATGAAATAACAAGAAGAAAATTGTACCATTTGCAACACAGATGAATGTTGAGGGTATCATGTTAAAATAAGCCAGACAAAAGAAAGACAAGAGATGATGGGTGTTAACTAGTTACTGTGGTAGTCATGTCACAATATATATGTCAAACCATTATATATATATATATGTCAAACACCTTAAGATACTACCATGCTTTATGTCAATTATAGCTCAATAAAACTGAAAAAACACTCAAAAATGTGCGAGCATCTATATGACTTACTGAACACATCGCCTCTGGGCTTTTGAGGATCTGTCTGTATCCTGTTGTCAACTGTAATCTCTCTTGGTGATGTGGTAGCAACTGGTGCTACAGTCGTTAGTCTGATGATTGGTCTTTCCGGCGTTGGTGGTGGTGGAGGAGGCCTTCTGAGTTCTGTGGGAGGCGGTGGGGGTGGGGGTGGGGTCGGCCATGTTGTTGGCTTTGGTGTAGGTCTTGTTGTTGGCTTAGAAGTGGGCCTGTTGGTAACGACAGGAGGAATATATGGTGTCCTCAGAGGCCACCTCGTACTTCCGACATCAGGAATCCAATTACTGTGTCCTCCATCACCCTTTGAAATGGTACCATTTCCCTTTGGTGGATGAATTGGACCTGAAGGTTCAATCATGACTTTCGGAATATCTAAAAGAGTCAAAATATTTAAATTAGTGTGTAACCAAAAAAGTGAAATTTCAAATTGTAAAAAACAAGCATATCAAAATATGTGCCAACTAGATTTATTTTTCAGATTTAGAATATCCCCCTACTGTAAATCATGCTGTTTTCCAAATAAAAAATATGTGCATATATGATATATGATACACATTCACCTGGTGGGTGAAAGCAAAAATTATATTGGTGTTTCTATAATGAAGCTTATTATTTGAAACCAAAAAAAAGTTGTGTTTGTAAAGTGGGAACAGATGGCACTCAATGAGATTTTTAAAATGCACAGATGCTCTAAATTTTTAAAATATGAGAAATGTATACATAGAGTCTATATTAAGTGTCCCTATGGTACATGTATATCACAAAATCATATTTAGAATTGTCTAAAGACTAATTTCTCTTCTACACCCTATATAAATTTGATTCATGTAAAACATTTCTATTAAATGCTCTACCTATTATTTTAGTTGATTTTTCTTCCCACTTATTAATTTATATAATTGCTTTTTAAAAAGAAATCTTCAGAGGTCACCAAGATCATCTGTGGAATATTTTTTCTTTATTATCTTCATCAGAAGAAATTAATATTTAATTTGTCTGGTAGAATATACTCCTAGGGGAGCATAATTCTTTAAAAATCCTTTAATCCCCATGATTTTATGCCTCAGGATTTTTAGTAAATATTTTACTCCAGAAATTTTAAAATGTATTGTTATTTGACATGTATGCTAAATTATGTACTTTAGTTTGTAAAATTTTCATCTTGGAGGGTATTTTTTTTTCATGTTTATCTACTAATGTATTCATACCACATACGGATCATATAAAAACTTAAAAAGCAAAACAGACTAAAGGTAGAGAAAACACATAAATATGGGAATTTTTTAGAATTAGGAGACATTAAAATGAACCAAAAATGCAGAATATATTCAGATTATCCCATTATCATATTCTAATACTAATGACAAACATTTACTTCTAATTTTAAGAAAATCAAATTCCCTGGGAGGCCTCTAAAATTTATCAGCTAAAGGGAAGCAACGGAGAAATTTTAGTCAAGCAACTAAATGCTTAGAATGCTTAGAAAATATAACTGAGGTCTTTAACTTAAAAATACCTGAACAAGTGATTGTTTGTAGAAAGCAGAGACTAATATGACCAGCAATAAAAATTGTACTTTTTTATCAATTAATCGTGTTCTCCTCCTTCCCCAATAACAGCCCCTGTGCAATCTAATTTCCTGCTGGCATTCAGAACTGGAAGACCAGTGCTACTCACACACGCAGCTCAGTCCGTCGCCGTGGTATCCTTCTTTACATTTGCACGTGTAGGACCCATGCACGTTGACACAGTGAGCAAAGCTGCTGCACTGGTACTGACCCAGGGAGCACTCATCTATGTCTGCATCATGAAGTAGGGAAAAGAGATGTTTATTTGGGAGGCAAATAGGATGACATGAAAATATAGAGACAGTTTCAAGAACACTTTTCTGCAATGTGAAGGTCCGTGTCAAACTGGCAGATAAACCAAAGAAATAAAGTGCCTGTGCATCCCGCTGTACTGGGAGCTGAACTGGACTCCTGTTTGTTTAGTGCCAGTGGCCTCCCTGCCCCTGGCATCTCAGTCTTCGGCACAATTAAAAGGCCTTCCCACGCCAGAGAAAGAAACAGGGAAAAGCAAAGACCGGGGTTCCTTACCGTGACACTGGTATTTGCCGCCAATGTACATGAGGTCGAAGCCTTTATGGCACTTGCAGATATAACTCCCAAAAGTGTTGACACACTGCCTAAATCTAGGGCAGGAAACTCTTCCAGTAGCACATTCATCAACATCTGAAACATAAGCCAACTGTATTTTAGGAGCAAGTTCCGATGAAGTGTATTTTAAAATAAACAACTGCCTGCAAACGGTTGCCTGGCACACAGTGACTCATCGTAGACATTACCCAGCTGTTGGCCCCACAGGCACCATAAATTCCACATCTCCATCTTTCAATTCATCTTCCTCACCCGGGCTGCCCTCCTACTGCAAGGCAACTTACCACACACGGCACCTGTGTCCACCTAGTTGCTTGAACTGAAACATGAGTCATTCTTTTTTTTTCTTCTTTTCTTTCCCCCTTTTGCATTATTTTTTAAAAATTATTTTTATTTATTTATTTATTTTTACATATTTTATTAATTTTTTTTGCCCCCCTCCCTCCCTCCCACACCTCCCCTCCCTCCCCAGAGTTTTGTGTCCATTGGTTGTACTTATATGCATGTATACAAGTCCTTCGGTTGATCTATTATCTCCTCCAGCTCTTCCTCCCCTCCCCACTGTTATTTGACAGTCTGCCTGTTGCTTTACTTTCTCTATATCTGTCTCTTGGTTCATCAGTTTATAATGATCTTTATCATCCACCAATGAGTGAGGTCATGTGGTGTTTCTCCTTCATTGATCGGCTTACTTCACTCAGCATGATGTTCTCCAATTCCATCCAGGTTGCTGCAAATGATGAGAATTCTTGACAGCCCTATTCCCCTTAACGCTAAGTCATCAGGCCCACTTGATTCTACCTACGAAAGACTATTTGAATTTGTCTCCTCGTCTCTTCACCCTCGGCCACTACCCTAGTCCAAGCTACCATCTTCCAGGTCTCCTAATTTGACCTTTTACGGCCAAGCTCACCTCCTCCAAACATTCCCACTCATTTGTCAAAATAATTTTATTACAGCATATAACTGGATTAGTGCTATGCCTAAAGCTCTTCTACTACTTCTACTTGCTTTCTGAATTAAATTCTCGTTCCTCACCAGGTCTTTGAAGGCTCTGTAGTAAACAGCCTACCTCACTGGCTGCAGCTCAAGCCGTTGCCCCTTATGCCCCCACTCTGTATTGAAGCCACACTGGGGTCTTGTTTATTGCAGTGTTTGTATTGTTTCCACCTGCTTGGCTGATTCTTCATATGACCAATGGCCCAGGTCTTGCTTCAAGGCTTTCTTTGATTAGTATTTTCTAAAATAGGCCCTCTCTGCTTCTCCCCATCTCAGGTCCTCATATTAACACTTTGTATTGTTTGTAATTTTATTGGATTTAAAGGCCTGGTGCATGAATTCATGCACAGGTGGGGTCCACCCCGATTGGAGCTGATTGGGCCAGGCAGCTGGGGGGAGGGCCCACGGAAGGTTGACTGGCTAGCCCCACCCCCAATTGAGCCAGTTGGTCAACCACAGTGCATGTTATAGTGACTTGGCATATATATTTGCTTCTTTGCTGTCTGCACCATTAGAATGTCAGCTTTGTAAGGACCAAAACCTTGTCAGTTTTTTCCATTACTGTACACCCTGACGTTAGCATAGTGCCTGGAGTATAGAAAGTAATCAATAAATGTCTCTTGAATCACTGAATACCTCCCTTCATTGAGTACTTACTACTGTATATGCTAGGTTGCTAATCTCTTTCTTTTTTTCCCCCCAATATATTTTATTGATTTTTTTACAGAGAGGAAGAGAGAGGGATAGAAAGTTAGAAACATCGATGAGAGAGAATCATCGATCAGCTGCCTCTTGCACACCTCAACTGGGGATGTGCCTGCAACTAAGTTACATGACCTTGACTGGAATCAAACCCGGGACCTTTCAGTCCGCAGGCCGACGCTCCCTCCATTGAGCCAAACCGGTTTTAGCTGCTAAGCTCTTTCTATACTTGAGTTCATTTAATCCTTACAATGGTTCTATGAGTCATTACTCCCATTTTAAAGATGACTTTGATTCAATTTCAAAGAAAGAAAGAAACCTCTTGCCTAAGGTTACATATCAAGTATATGGCAGAGTTGGATTTAAAACCAAAGCCCTGGCTCTTAATCACAACGCTATTATTACCTTCTTAATTTAAAGGGGGGAAATCTAAGTCTTAAATATAATACAAAACACAATCTACCCTGTTTCCCTGAAAAAAGACAGTGTCTTATATTAATTTTTTCTCCCAAAGTTGTGCTAGGTCTTATTTTCAGCGGATGTCTTATCTTTCCATGCGCTACGTCTTATTTTTGGAGGATGTCTTATTTTCGGGGAAACACAGTAGCACTATCTACCTGTTCAGTTTCATCAGTCATTGCCCCTTACGTTCCAGAAATACTAAGCTCTGTTTCCCTGAACATTATGCTCCTTGAAACTTCAATGCCTTTGCAGATGTAGTTCCCTCTGCCCGAAGCTTTCTCCTGCTCCTCATTTTAATAAATAAATAAATAAATAAATAAATAAATAAATAAATAAATAAAAATGTTCCTAAGGTCTATTCACAGAGAGGGGTCTTCTTCTGGGACATCTGATATCTTCTAAAGGATGGCTAAGACTTGATGTAAGTAACTGCCTTTTTTCCTTATTCACGCCCCCTTTCGCTTTCTTCCTTTCCCTAGAAAGACTACAGTCAGAGAGGCTTGGCTTTACAACTCACCCACACAGGTCCTTCCATCCGGAGCCAGCTGGAGGCCAGGAGAGGGGCACTGGCACCGTATCTGTCCTTTGATAACGTCACAGCCATATTGACAGTTTGCCATGGAGCACGTCAGGCCACCTGGAATGAGTGTGACCGGCTGACTCAGAGAACACACTCTACAAGCGAAACCACTATGTCTTGAACCTGTCCTGAAATCAGCAACACTGACTCAACAATGAAGACAAAAAGGCCTCAATTATTCAACAACCTTCCTCCTCCACGGATCACGAGGATTAAGAAGTGACTCAGCACTGTTGTCATCTGGGAAAGGCCTCTAATGCATTAGAGAAATTCCAAGACAAATGTAAAGCTTAATCTCATGTAGGTTATCTGTGAAATTTTCCAGTGGCCAAAAACAGTGGGAAATTGAGGTTGTTTTTCCAGATTATTCATGCTAAGTGCTGGTCTTAAGTGAAGCATCCACATAACACATAATTGTGTCAACCTCCCAATAAATTTCTCCAGAGACAGCATATTTCCCACTGAGTTGGGCAATGTTAGAGGAGCTGAGCATCACTGTCACATGTGATTTAACATGAACCCACTTCATTCCAAAATGTCTCATGCTAAGTAGGCCATGCTAAATAAAATTAGTGAATATATATATATATATATATATATATATATATATATCACAACTTAGAGAGAGACAGTGAATTATAATTAGATAATTTAACTGATAATTCAGTAAAAATAAAAATCAAATCATCGATTGTGGGGTATCCTATACACATACCCTCAATTCAATGTGCAGTCAGCAGAGGTTATCGTGGCACCACCCATCTTATAACACATCCAAATGATAGTAGGAAATCTACTTTTATGTTACTGTAATCATTCATTTTTTTCATTTGAAGTAGATTTTAATAAAAGGGACATAACTTAGTCCTTAGACTATGACACTGAAATGTAAAAATGAAGTGATAAGGTTTTTGTGAGTCATTTACAACGGAACAAGCTTGATGGGATTCTCTACCAGCAAATAGTTTAGAGCCCATCTTTATGGGCAGCACAATGGTCCTGAAATAATCACTGATTTTTCCCCTTCTAGCTGGAATAGCTCTAGGCCCAGAGTGACGAAAGGGAAAAACATGCTGGGGAAAAACGTAAGAAAAATACACTTAGTTTTATTCTTCTTCTTCTAAAACCATTTCCAAATCAATTTAACGCTGGCACCCAGGATAAAATAATTCTAGCCATCAACTCTTCTTTTGATTTTTCTATTGCTCAGGGACACATACAAACACAAGCTCCCATTCTGTCTGGGAGGCCACCGTCATTCTCACACTACCCGAGCACAACATGAAGGAAGTCAAGCCCAAAGCACTTGTAAAACAATTAAGATTCTTGACATACTTGAGCAGGACCCGTCCGGCATCAGCATGTACCCGTTGAGACAGTAGCACTTGTAGCTGCCGTAAGTGTTCATACACCTGTGCTTGCAGGGCCTCGGCTTCAGGCCACACTCATTCAGATCTGAAAAGAGTGGAAGTTGAAGCAGAAAAATCACAAAATGTCCGCACAAATGTAAACCATTGAAAATACTTCTCTATATTGACAAAATGAAGAAGAAAAGTTGGTCAAGCTATGGTAACCGGTCATTTACATACTAGTAAGGCAGAGCCTGGTCACACTGCCTTAATTTTTAATGCTGGCTACACTGGGGACAACCAAGAGTTTCCTACCCGGGGTGACTGAAAGCCTTGTAGCAATGAGGGGCTGTGTGAGTTCCTGGAGCTGGCATTATACAGGACATGTGACTCCGTCCTCTGTGGAGTATACTGTGCCTGCCTCATTGTCCCTAGAAACAGCAGCATACCGACTCCTCATGGTGCTCTGTCATCTGTCTGACCCAATAGCCTCACAATGTCTGGCATCTACTACTGGAGTCACTCCTGACAACGTGTACTTCCGATATCAATTTATTCCCCTCTTTGTTTATAGAAGATATGAGAAAGTATCCAGATTCTAACAGTAGACTGCTTTGAACTTCCCAAAAGAAAGCAAAGTTTCCAGAGGATAAGAGCTTCATGGATGAGAGTGATCACATTTGTGGTCTTCCTTGTTCAGGCTTATAGACTATATACTGATCTCAGATTAAAGAAGGAAATTCTGCTTCCCACTTTAGCAATGTACTCAAATCACAAAATAAACTAAAAAAACCCCTACTACCCTCCAGTATGTTTTCATTCATTTGGTAGTTAAGAGGGGCATATGGAAATAGTAATGAATAATATATAATTGAATAATACATAATTAACTATCATTATGTATTTTAGGATTATTGATTTAAATACCAATATAACATGAACTAATAAATTGCACATTAGAATTTTTAACCTAAGTCGAACACTGCCTCAACTGAACATAAATCTCATAATAATATATAAACACTGAAATAGTAATGCCCAAAATATAGATTTCATTAAAAATGCTCATTTGGAACTGCCAATATAAAATAATTACCTATTAACATATGTCATCAAACAGAAATCTAGTTGCAAATTTAACCTAATCTAATATAAATCTGACCTGTTGTTTATTATAAATTTATATTTCATTTAAGTAAGCCAACTTACATTGCTTTTTAAAACCTGCAAATTATTGCACCTATATTTTTTAAAATATAATTTACCGACTCTCCAAGTTGGTCTTTTTTTCTAACTTTCATACATCTGTAAGTAGGTCCCCAGCTGTGTGAAGCCTGGGAAGATTAAATAATAAGCAAGTGTCACCCCCCCAGGCTTTATTCAAGTTTATACTGTATTGAATCTTGCCAAGTTAAGGCTACACAAATCAGAACAGCATTTTAGGATATTTCAAAAAAAATTTTCCTCAAGGAAGATGCTTTGCAGATTATAGTATCATCAAAAAATGTGACTTCTCCCTCTGTTAGAGTAAAAATTTTAAATCAAGAATAAAAGTAAAAAAATTGATTCCACCTCTCATATTCTTCTACTTTGTATTTCAATATTTATCAAAAATTAAAGTCAGAGAATCTTTCCTCTTGTTCTAGGAGGAGTTGATTTTTACTCCTCTTCTCTCCCTGCAGATTCACACCTGGCTTTGATAAATCCCTGACTGATATTATAGAATGTAGTATTTAAATCTGAGTACACTGTTAGACAAAGGCTTTGTGTTTTAAACATTTTTCTGCACTAAACAAAAAGAAAATAGTACAGTATAACAAAACAATAGAGTTAGACCGAATTCCCTATCTCAAGGGAAGGATATTCATGGATAAATAAAGAGTGTCAATTAAGAACCCTGAGGTTTATTTTTAAGGAGCCACAGAAACTTCTGTGGGTTTCCTGATGGGAACGGGTCAGATGTTTATAGCTCCAGGAAGCTTATATACACAAGTACTGATGCTGATGGAAATTTCAGACACTGTCTATGGCCTAAGCTGAGGCCCCGGGAGGCAGCCCATCTTGGCCAATAAAGGGCTCCCTGGCGAGGCTCTGTGAGACTCCGCCATTCGGGCTGGGCTGCTGGTGCTCTTCAATCCCAAGTGACCCTTCCCTTCCCATGAGAAAAAGTACTTTGCGGTTAAGAATCACAAAATGGAAAGAAAACGAAAAATCAGTAAGATGTCCTAATTTCAAAAGAACCTGGGAATCACTCTGAAACAATATGCAACAAGGAAACATGCATTGTTCAATGGTAGTGTAGAGACATTTGTTGACTACTTTATTGTTACTAAATTGACATGTAAATATCCAAATCTGTTGGGAGCAATCTGAGAAAGCGTGCTCTGCCGGCCGCTGCGAGTGGTCGGCTCTCCGTGACAGGTCCCAGGCACTGAAGTCCACGACTGCCCTTACTCTCCCACCTGCCACAGGCACCTGTCTCCTCAACACTTCACCAGACCCAGCAGAAATTATGAAATATGGTTCCACAATAACCCATACTTATCAATATTTACCAAATACCAGACTTTGCTCAAGCAGGGAGCTTCTGAAGATCAAAAGCATCCAAGATCCTGGTGATGAACTTCTTTTTCCCTAATTTTTGGTCAGGTTTCCATCCTTGATTATTATATCTTATTTTCTTAGTGACCTAATGCCTTAGAAAACTGAGTCAATATAGGCTGCTTCCAAAAATCTCTTGTAGTACAGAACCACTAACACTTGTGCTCCTGTCAAATTCAGTCAGAAATTCAAAAATGACAATTTCAATTTATAGTAAATGCTCCTATAAGTGGAACAATATAAAAAACATAAAAGACTGCTTGATTACATTTTATACATCTTAAAAGTTAATAAAAAAAAAAACCTAGGGAAAAATCTTTAGTGCGTTTATTTTAAATTTACTTTACTTTTGCTCTTTCTCTAGGAGTTTATAATGTAATATAAATTAAAAGAGAAATATTTACATAATGACTTGTATCATGGACTTATCATACAAAGAACAGAACTTTATAATTAGACCACTTACATTCAAATGCTTTAATGATTAAGTGTGCAATTCTTATAGAGCATCTATAAGTCAGGAGTATACTTAGGCACGTTGGTGGGCTCAGGCGCTTGGGAGAGGGGGGCAGGGAGAAAGGAGCTGGTCTAGAACAAAAATGCAAGCTGCATAGCATTATAATTACACTTCAGGGGGGAAAGAATAGAAATTTTATTAGCATGCAGACACTGAAAAGTAGCTGAAAATCTCCAAGAGATTCATTATCTAAGACAACCCAATAGAGGTTTTTTTAAGGAAAAACAATTATTTGTTTAATGCGCTTGCACTTTTTTTTTCTCTTTGAAACTTAAACTGGGCAATGACTCAGAAGTCTAAGCTTTTACATTTTATCTGACTAAAGTGGAGGTCAGAGGGAAACCGATGTCAATATGTCAACGGCCATCACTTTTAAACTTTGAAGACAGCCGTGACACAGTGACTGAGATGAATCCCGTGGCCCTGGTTTTTTCTGCAGAAGATGCACACGTCCATCAGGTCCCCTATCAGCAGGGAGAAAGAGTAATTTCTCACTTATAGGATTTTAATTCAGGCATTCTATCAGTGGGTGAGAGATAACATTTTTTTTTAGGAGAACTGTGAAGACATGCAGCCACCTAACCTTCCTACGAAACTTTCCAGCATAATGAAGGCACTAATATTTGGGCTGTTTCTGTTCTTGCACCAGCCCTGAAGGCAAATAGGGCAGGAATTACTCTCCCCCCTGTTACTAATTGTTTTGCTAACACCCCAGTCACATTAAATGACTTCCTCCTTCCAGGCTGTGCTTTCTAATATTAGAAATGTCCACTAAACGAAGGAAGCTAATGTATGTTTCATTCCTGGTAGCCTAACACGCTACACCCTAAGTACAGTGATGAAGAGGACTAGCTCACTTCTAAAACATACTTAGCAAAAGCCCCAATCTCAGCTGCTCTAATATTCCTGACTTCATCTACATATGAAAACAAACGTGATTTTGTTATGTGATTTTTTTAGAAAACATTTTGAAGCTCAGAGAAGAAGAAGAGCAACGACACTTGGTGCAGTGAGAGGACAGCAGAGGCTCCAGACTGAGGAGAGCACAGAGTCTACAGCAGGCGCTGGCCCTGCTGCTGCTTCACATGCTCAGTGCTGAGGCCGGGCGCTCCGGGCTGGTCTTCGGAGCAGGTGCAAGGAGTGACACACTGCAGGAAGCCGGGCAGGTGGGAGGAGCAGACCCCCTGAGACAGTGCACGCTCACCCCTTGAAGGTAAACTTGTGGCTTGCGGATCCGGGGGTTGGAAAAGAGGCTGCTCACTGCCTTGGTCAAGAGGAGTTGGGTAGGCGTGCTCGTCTTCACACCAGGAAGAAGGTAATAAGAGTCAACTTTGAACTGATGTCATGCTTAGCCCTAAAAATCTTTATAAGTATATATTAAACAATTACATAAAGTTGGTAGAGTTCAAAAAGAATACTTTACCAAAAGTAGTTTCTAGTTTTTCCAGATTCTCCCTTTTAAAAAAATATTTACTTTCCTGAAAATTTATCACCGCCATCTTTCTTCCCAAGAACACACACACACACACACACACACACACACACAGTACAAGTTAATCCATCATTCTCATATAAACTTAAAAGGGAAAAAACAGTAATAAAGAGATAGTCATTTTTAAAAAGCATGATTTTAATTATCAACAATGAGAGAAAACTAAAAGAACAAACAAACAAAGATTATACAAATATTGATTATAAAAAACCTGCTCTGTGTCAGGATCCTGAAGTCTTAAATGACCAACTTAAGCCTTTTTCTTATTATGTTGCACAATAGTTTAAAATACTCTAAAGTTACACACAAAGTTATTATTTACATAAAGACCTTATTTAAAAAGATAGCATGATAAATGCTTTCACTCAAATATAAAAACTTATGTTACATTTAGGTCACATTTAATTAGAATATCCACATAAGTTTTCTGCAAAAAAATAAAGTAACTGTTCCCATGGTTAGCTTGCTAAAAATATTGTGAGATGGGTGAGATTCAAAAGTAGAGAGTCAAAAAGGCACTCATATCCTATTTCAAGGCTACTGCATTGGTAATAGTGAAACTTCCAAATTAAATGAACATTGGTGTCTGAGTTAAAATCACACAACCTTCATAAAGGTAAGGCTATAAGAAGCTACCTTGATATGAGGGTTAATGCATGTAAGGCTGCTGTGCTGAGAAAAGCAGTCATCTCTGAGAATGAACTAGTCCACCAATGTTTACTGTCTGATTACGTGCTACAAGACACTAATTCTTTTCTCGGGATGAGGAATTCAACATATGACACATGAACCATGTCAAAACATTAGCAATTTATATTTATAAATTGTTTCTCCTGTACTCATTATAAAGCACACTATGAATTCAAAAGAATATCTCTCCTGAAAAAAAAATGCAATGATATGATATATTCCATGCTAAAAATAGTTCCCTGGAGAGAAAGTTATAAAAATATTATTATCTCTACTAGTATCCTTTCTTGGCTGAGGTGGAAAGGGGATTTGTATGGGTACGTAGAGACTCAGGGAGGGAGGAACTATGCAAGAATAAAATTACCAGAGAAAGTAAGATGGAAAAAAAACAATCTTGCCAGAGTTCTGGTTAGAATTTCACCTAGAATTTCACCATGTACCTTAGAGAATATGATAATGATCAGTCCATGCCTATGGTTTTATATGTGATCCAACTATAGCAATCCAGAAAATGACCCATGGGGAGCAAGTCACCAAGAGCAGATTACACTCATCTTGCGTCGGGCTATTAAGTGAAGCCAGTTCCAAAGTGGGCCTGCCCTGCTATCTTGGCTGCTCCCCAGGCCGCTCCAACAGCGCTCAAGTGCTTGTCATTTATCATGCTGTCCATGCAGCCAAGCAAGCTCGCAGGGAACGACTTCTTAAAGTACACAATTTGCAACAAACTTTTAATGCAGATCCATGCCTTGTACCCAAACCGACTTTTAATCAAAAGCTCATATCTAGTTCTGGGAAAATTACTTCAAGGTACCTCTTTTTGACATTTCTCTCCTCAAGAAAAAAATAAACTTATGTTTTCCACTGTTTTAAAATGTATGGTCTAGATCAAAAGCCTATGCTAGTTTGTTATGGAGACATAGAGCAGATATGGGTCATTTGCTCTTTCAGTGTTTCTGGGTGCCTCTTGACAGCTCTCCGAGTTACCCAGCTCACTGAGGGCAGCTTCTCACAGGGCTCGTGTCCACACGGTAAGAGGATAAGGTACCAGACTCCTCCATGGGGCTGTTTCAAGTTCCTATAGCTTTCAGGACCAAGAACTTTTGTAGGAAATAGTCACTCGCTTGATAAATATTTACTGTGCACTAATCATGTGCAAGTCATTTTAATAATAGTTTTCAGGAACCCAGAAATCAGAGAGACAATACAAAGGGTTCCATTCTCAAAAGGAATACGTGTACTTCTTTCCATCAGGAACTTGCCTAATTGCTGTTTTGGAAAGTAAGGCCACACGAAAGATGAATGAAACACATTCATAGTCACTGTGAGCGGGAGCTTTCTATTCACAATTGGATTTGAAATGACATTTTCAATGTCAGCACTGTTTTTGCAGGTGTAAAATCCCACTTTGCTACTAACGGAATCCTTTTCCCCCTAAGGAAGAGAGTTTTGGGAGGCAAGATTTCAATTCAATATATTTCAATTTTTCTTTAGAATTACTGAAAAACAACAACAACTGGCTTTTCTAAAAACAAGTGCATGGTGAACTCTTTTTTTCTAATAATAAGTATATAGTAAACTGGTTTTCTGAAAATAAGAGATACTCAGAAATGAATCCTTGTTCCAATAATAGCTTGCGAGTCTTTCAAAGCACATTAAAGTTGATGATGCTCTGTAAATAAATTTAAATTAATTTTCTCTGCAACCTCAACAGCAGCTATTTGGAATAATCTTCTTTGTATAAATTCCTGGCATCAGGACAAGAAGTTTTATGGTGCTGACATATTAATGAAATCTCTGGTGACTTGTGTTCATCACTTTTAAAGAAGAAGCATGCTGGGACTCTAAGATAAACACTAACAACTCAATAATTAAAACCAAACATGCTGCTACTTGAGAAATACAGAAGACAGAAAACCAAACGGATTTTTAAAAGAGTAAACTGAGATAATAAGAACCCCATTTATCTAAAAAATACTACCCAGGTATGACAGATAAATCCCAAGTTAAAAAACATTATTTGAAAAGAAGCATTGGAAAAACTTGGCTATCTATCAAGTAGCAGATAATCTAGAAGACTCTAGAATAACAGCTTGTCCTACCATTGGGCATGTCACATTTTACTAGCATGGATTTCACCCAGCAGTGCAGAAACAATTAGATATACCTGCAAACACCAGTGTTCTGGATGTTGTGAAAACTATGGCTACAAACATGAGTTTATACAGCACACCTCAAGGAGTATCAGATACTGAAGAACAAGAGTGTTTCAACAATATCATTTCTGTATCGGGTGAGGTGAAGTTCTATAAGATGAGAAAATTAGGCCCCTACATGATCGTTTCACTTGACAACTTAAAATGATAGGGAGTATTGCTTTAATAATAAGTTAAAAACTATTTTATCCTTGTATCTTTCTAGTGAAATCTAACCATACTAGTACATTTTCTTGGCTGAGGTGGAAAGGGAATTTGTATGGGTATTTCTGATTTTGTTGGTTTTGTGTGTGTGTGTGTGTGTGTGTGTGTGTGTGTGTTGTTGTTGTTGCTGCTGCTGTTGTTGTTGTTTTTCTCCTAATGGTAGAAAGTTTTTGGTTAAAAAGACAAGCCTTGTCAAACTTGTTAGCATGAACCAGAAGATCACATTTCCAATGATATATTCTTCAACCAAAACTAAATTGGTAAAAAGAACAAGCATTCTATAGACAGTAACTCTAAGTTGATATGGTAGGTCTTCTAATTCTATGAACTTGGACAAGATACTTAATATCCCTGATATCACTTCAACTAAACAATGAGTCAATATGTTCTCTTTAATAACTTGATTATAATAAACATTCTACCTCTTGATGTTGTTGTAATAATGAAAATAGACAATATAGCCGAAACCAGTTTGGCTCAGTGGATAGAGCATCAGCCTGGAGTCTGAAAGGTCCCGGGTTCGATTCCGATCAAGGGCATGTACCTTGGTTGTGGGCACATCCCCAGTATGGGGTGTGCAAGAGGCAGCTGATCGATGATTCTCTCTCATTGATGTTTCTGAGTCTCTATCCCTCTCCCTTCTTCTCTGTAAAAATCAATAAAATATATATTTTTTTTAAAGAAAGAAAATAGACAATATATGTAAAAAACCTGGTGTACTCTTATTGCTAAATAAATGTTTGCTTTTATAAGTAACTGATGCCAATTAAAAGTAACTTGCTAATAAATTTATTAAAATCTTTATTTCTCAGAGAAACACTGTAAGCTGGTCAACAGTTAAAGGGAATTTAATCACAAAATAGAAGGGCTCAGAGTTTGAAGGGACCTCGGAATTTCAAATCAAACTTCCTACCTGACTGTGAGTATGAAGGTGTTTTCACCAAATTGGGTCCAAGGAGCCTAACATTTTGCTAAGGCTCCCCCACTGGTGAGGGGCAGAACAAGGAGCAGCAGAATGTAAGGCTCCTAACGTTGCTGACACTGCAATTCTCTTTTTCAAAGTGCATTTTAATTATTAGCAGTGAATAAGAAGATTCTTTTCATTGTCCTGCGATGAAATAAATTCTAAAAAGATTTACCACTATTATATTTCTATCTTTCAATAAATGCAGCTAAATATGCAGAACAATCGTCAAGGAAAACTGTCCGGGCGTGAGCACTTCACATTGTTATATCGGGCAGGAGTAGAGGGGGCTCACGATCGTTCGCTGTGTCACACTCTCCCTACCTTGATTGCAGGTTTTGCCGGCATATCCGGGGTGACACTTGCACTTGTTTGGTCCGATACATTCTCCGTGTTTGCACTGTGGTTGGCACACAGCTGAGAAAAGAGAATATCATGCATTATTTCTAGGTCAGCAGAACATCAACCGTATAGTATTTACATCATGTACTTGCTTAGTAATAAAATAAAAACCGCACCTTAGAATGTATAAAAGAGCAGAAATATACAAAATCACTGTGTTCTGGAGTGGAAAGCACTGTCTAAAGTACACATTAACACACCTGTGTTACACGCATGTGTGTGCGCGTGTGTATCACTTTGGGCTAAAAAAATTGGCTGAACTTGAGGTCAATACTCTAATAGTCAGAAAAAATATGTAAAACTAAGCATAAACACAACTGGTGTTTATTAATAGTTATAACTTTACAATAACCTGTACTTGTACTCATAACTTCAAACTCATTCTCTCAAATATCCTTCAAGTCTTCCCAGGCTGCAGGCTGAATCCCCAGTAGGGGGCGTGCAGGAGGCAGCTGATCAATAGTCTCTCTCATCATTATATTTCTATTCCTCTCTAACTCTCCCTCCTTTTCCCTGAAATGTATTTTTTTTAAATACACTCAAAAAAGTTGTTCTTAATCCAAAGATACTAACTCCAGATAAGTTGTTTGAAGTCCAGATAAATTTCCAATTAAATAATAAAATACTATTTTACTGGAAACAGTATTCCTAAGTACAAAATGTTCAAAATAAAATAAACATTGCAACTCAATCTTTTTTGGAATTTCAAGTTAAGAACACCTCTGTCATTTTTGACCTTTCTTAACCTTAGGTGGATTTCTATTGCTCATCAATCAATAATAGCTTTTCTATGGCCTATCACAATAAATAAAAGTATCTATTTTTCATTTACTATCTTCTATCAACTGAGTTTGTCTTTCCTCAAGACCCAAAAAAAATTCTATAAAATCATCATTTAAATTTTTCACAGTCTTTGGTTCCTGCCAAGATACTGCTTAGAATTTTTTCTGTTTACTCTCTATCAGACATTCTCAGCTGCGGGGATTTCTGCCCCCATGGGACAACTGGCATAAATGGAGACATTTTGGTTGTCACACTGGGGAGAGTGTGCTCCTGGCATCTAGTTGGTACTGCTAAACATCCTACAATGCTCATAGAGCCCCTTCCCTCTCTTACCCCCCAAAACACACAAATTATCCAGCCAAAACTGTGATATTGCCAGACTGAGAACCCTTGCTCTTTACCAAATATGTGCAAGGGCTAGGCCAGATACTAGAACAGAGAGAACACGCTGTATATAGTGTGGTCACTGGTATCAAAGAGCTTACAGTCTAAAATGAAGGGACAAAACAAGCATGTTTTTAATTTAAGGCAACGTTTGCTTATGAACAAAATAGGTGACACATACAAAATGTGTAAAGAAATCATCTCGCAAGCATATCCAGTAGAGAAAGCCTTGTAGAAGAGGCTTGAGTTGGAACTTGAAACTTGGGTAGAAAGAAAAGGGAGATGACTATCAACGATAGGAAGAATTGTGCAACAAACTAGACCGTTTATTAGGGGACACTGAGGAGGCTTGGCAAGCAAAAGAGAGAGAGAGGGGGGGGGGGCAGGGGGGAGGGGAGGAGAAAGGTAAATGCTGGTAGAAAAGTGAGAAGTAGACAATCATAGGTGAGCGGTATCAGATGATGATGTTCCCTCAATTTCAGATGGAGGAATATACACTTTATCTATAGAAAATGGAAAGTTTAACACCATCAGCAAAATTAACAGATACAAATCAACACTCTGGGAATATGTAGGAAGGACTGGAAAAACTCCAGTTGACATGAGGAAAGAATGATTTGTTTTTGAGACAGAAGAGAGGGGCTTCAGTAACCAAAGTGAAGAGCTGAGACATCGTAAAAACCAGAGGGAATTGGGGTCAATGGTGACCCTGAGTTCTCGAGTCCCCAACACCTGTACCTTCCCCTCTTGGCTCAGGTTATTCTGTTCTGGGATATGCTCCCAGTTTCTGGCAATTCTCAAACATCATTTCCTTTAAAGCTCTAATATTCCTGTGAAGCTGATGTGAAGGTTATTTCTGGTGTTTTCTACACTTCCTGACTCGCCCTCACTAACCCTCCCCTCACCTGGATTCCACAGGCCTATCTGCCAATTTTACTCCCAGGTCTTTCCTGGCCACTCGTCACTTCAACTGGACCCTGAACCATGAATGACCCTTAGACAGTGCTGCTCAGTAGGGATTTAATTTGAAAGCTTGCAGAAATAAAGGCGGGAAAAAGTGAACAGTGTAAATGGCAGAGAAATGTGCACATTTAAAATCTGATGTTAGACATGGTGTGAAATTCAAACGGCAGCCATTTTTTTTCCCTTCAGAACTGTAAAAAAAAATGGACTATCTCGGAGTGCCTTCCAATATAATATTTCAGTCAACTGTACACCTGATAGATGGTTTAGATGCAGTTTTTAAAACAAGTCCCACAATAAGCCATTTTTAATGTAACTTGCTAGTCCCATCACCAAGAAATGCAAGTTGAAAAGAATTTTTGTTAAACTAAAAAAAAAAAAAAAAAAAAAGATTTTTCATAAATCTTCACAATTATATATATAAAAACAACCTGAATAAATCAGGTATGTCTGAGGCACCCAGAATGCTATATTTAAAAAAAAAAAAAAAAAGAGTAAAAATCTCAAAAGTGAAGGTAATCACCTCTCAAAATAGAAGGAATTTGAAAACATCTCTAAAAACATGAAAAAGTCCTTTAGAAAGTACCACTTAAAAACATGAAAAAGTGTATTTGCAAGAGGACACTTTATGAAATAATTCCGCCCATTGCCTTCTGACCCCCTGACCAGCTCGATGACTATCCATTTATGGTGCTTTCAGGCCCTTCATAGGAACAAAAGTTTCTATTGTCCCCTTCCCCCTCGTTGTTTGTTCTCCATGGAGTGCCGCTAATCTTGGGCACATCAAATGCACACATTCCAGGAGGCCAGGGATGTTAATGTTTCCTACACGTGTAGGGAGTCAGTATTTCCAAACGGCTGTTTGCACATCTACCGGACAGACCATGCACTGAAGTAACCAATGACCTATTCATTAGTCAACAACATTAAATGGGATAGGGTAGTCAAAAGTTGATATAACCATTTTGTCCCCTTACAAAAAGAAACTGCCTCTTTAAAATGTTGTGTAAAAGTCCTTTCTCCTATTACCTTGCTGGCATGAGTCTGCAATGGAATTCAATAAATATGTATTCAACACTTGTTATATCTAATGTAGTCTACTAGCCAAGTATGGATGAAATGAGATACACAGAGGATATAAAAAAATAACGATGAAACTATAATACATTGGCCAAAACTGAACAAGAGCTGCCACAGAGAGGTGAGATAAAAGGGTGGGGGAGTAGATAATCACTGACTAGGTTCTGGAAAAGCCTCCTGCCGTAGAGGTAACTAAGAGGCAGAGACACTGGGGAGGGAGACGAAGCCTTTGAGAACAGAAATAAGGTACTGGGGACAGACAATGAAGAAGGTTCTAGAGAGCCAAGTGCTCTAGTGAAGCTGTCACAGGAAGTGCTTAAACAGCAGATGGGAACCAAAAACAGGCTAAGCAGATCATAAAAGGCACAGTGCTTACAAATATGTTTTCCCATCTTCTTTTTAATAGACTGCCTTTTTTTTCTTTTTTGCATGAGCCCTCCATGGCGTATATGAGTAGGCGAGCAACCAAATTCTGGCCAATTACATGTGAACAGAAGTTATGGGGAGGGGCGTTAGCAAAGCTACCTAAAAAGGTCCTGACTAGGATGCCTCCTCTGTCTTCTTGCCTAGAATATAATAGAATTCACAGTGAACTACAGAGGCCACTTCCTGACCACAAGGTAATCTTGAGAATGGAAAAGGGGGCGGAGCAAGATGTCATAATATTAACCCTAAATTGCCATCCTAGCAATCTGGGGCACTCTGCTTTTTGTCACTGTATTTGTACTTGCAGCCAAATTCAGTTCCGAACTGACTATCCTTTAGCACAAGGGTGTGGAATCTTAATGTATGTTCGTTATCAAGTTGGCACATATTTCCTCTGGATACACACACACACACACACACACACACACACTGCATAGAAATGAGCAGATCCTAGGAAAGCAATATAATTTGTTAAATTTATTTCATATATAATGCTGTAAAATTATAGAAGTATCTAAAAAACGTTATTTCTATATCTAAAGAATCAGATTAGAAAATACATATCCATAATGACACTGGAGAAAACAATTCCCAACTTCTGTGTAAACTGGTCTGCCCTTTGATAACCTACTCCACTGTAATGTGAGCTATCAGGAGCTGGCCACACACACCAACCTTTACAACCTGCTGTGGCCAGCAGGCCAGGAGAAGAAAAAGAATGTGATACTTTCTAGGGGTCCATTTTAGAGTGCTCTAAAAACATCAAAAACAAATAATTTGATTTGGAGGAAATACCTATTGTTGCTGCAAGTTAATCAGAAAATGCAGCATTACTTCTCAGACCTACACTTCTCTGACCAGGAATAAGAATTCTGGGCCATATTTGATGGTCCACGGTTCTCTGGCCTCCACATATGATTTAGCAGCTCAATAATACAAAAATTAGGAGAAGCACAGTCAATGAATGACAGATTTTCTTAACCCCAAATTAAATGTCAGAATTAAGCTGAAATGGGCAAATAATATTCAAACTTTACTTTTTAACATTCCTGAAGTATAATCTCCATCTCATTACTTTAAGTAGGGGGGGGGGGGGAGAGAAACAAGTCTCAGCTGGCAAAGCAAACACACCTCTTTTACTGTCTGTCACATGTCCATGCTGCTTTGGTTTGCAATCTAATAAAATTTTACTCTTAAAAATGCATCCTAATGTATAAGGTTCTGAGAGTTGGACAATATTTTTTGATGCTTATATAAGAGGTGAGTTATCAAATAAGTTAGGGGAAAATTAAGGTCTCGTGTCAGTTCTATAGACTACTTATTTTTTTTAATTTAAAAAAATATATATTTTATTGATTTTTTACAGAGAGGAAGAGAGA